CATGAAACATCTTCTAGTGAGTGTCTACCAAGTTTGTTCAAATGAAAGCCCTGGGGTCAAAATTGGCCCTGCCCCAGGGGGTCATTGATTTTCCCTATATGCATATAGTAAAAACTTAAAAAATCTTCTTTTAAAGAACCCAAAAAGCTAGAGCTAAGATATTTTGCATGAAACGTCTTCTAATGAGTGTCTACCAAGTTTGTTCAAAGAAAAGCCCTTGGGTCAAAATTGGCCCTGCCCCAGGGGGTCATTGATTTTCCCTATATGCATATAGTAAAAACTTAAAAAATCTTTTTTTAAAGAACTCAAAGAGCTAGAGCTAAGATATTTAGCATGAAACATGTTCTTATAGGTGTCTACCAATTTGTTCAAAGAAAAGCCCTTGGGTCAAAATTAGCCCCACCTGGGGGTCATTGATTTTCCTTGTATGTGTATAGCAAAAACTTAAAAAATCTTCTTTGAAAAAACCCAAATAGCTAGAGTTTATATATTAAGCATGAAACATCTTCTAGTGAGTGTCTACAAAGTTTGTTCAAATTAAAGCCCTGGGGTCAAAATTGGCCCTGCCCCGGGGGTCATTGATTTTCCTTATATGTGTATAGCAAAAACTTAAAAATCTTCTTTGAAAAAAACCAAATAGCTAGAGTTTAGATATTAAGCATGAAACATTTTCTAGTAAGTGTCTACAAAGTTTGTTAAAATAAAAGCCCTGGGGTCAAAACTTATACTTATGCTCTCTATCATGTTTTGTTGGTAAATGTCCATTGCTACTTATGCTCTATATCATGTTTTGTTGGTAAATGTTCATTGTTACTTACACACTCTATCATGTTTTATTGGTAAATGCTCATTGATATTTATGCACTCTATCATGTTTTGTTGGTAAATGTTCATTGACACTTATGCACTATATCATGTTTTGTTGGTAGATGTTCATTGACACTTATGCATTATATCATGTTTTGTTGGTAAATGTTCATTGACACTTATGCACTATATCATGTTTTGTTGGTAGATGTTCATTGACACTTATGCATTATATCATGTTTTGTTGGTAAATGCTCATTGACACTTATGCATTATATCATGTTTTGTTGGTAAATGCTCATTGCTACTTATGCTCTCTATCATGTTTTGTTTGTAAATGCTCATTGATACTTATGCACTCTATCACGTTTTGTTGGTTAATGTTCATTGTTACTTACACACTCTATCATGTTTTGTTGGTAAATGTTCATTGATACTTATGATCTCTATCATGTTATCATTGCTACTTATGCTCTTTATCATGTTTTGTTGGTAAATGTTCATTGATACTTATGCAATCTATCACAATTTGTTGGTAAATGTTCATTGCTACTTATGCTCTCTATCATGTTTTGTTGGTAAATGTTCATTGTTACTGACACACTCTATCATGTTTTGTTGGTAAACGCTTATTGATACTTATGCTCTCTATCATGTTTTGTTGGTAAATGTTCATTGATACTTATGCTCTCTATCATGTTATCATGCTCTATATCATGTTTTGTTGGTAAATGTTCATTGATACTTATGCACTTTATCACATTTTGTTGGTAAATGTTCATTGCTACTTATGCTCTCTATCATGTTTTGTTGGTAAATGTTCATTGATACTTATGCACTCTATCACCTTTTGTTGGTAAATGTTCATTGCTACTTATGCTCTCTATCATGTTTTGTTGGTAAATGTTCATTGTTACTTACACACTCTATCATGTTTTGTTGGTAAATGCTCATTGATATTTATGCACTCTATCATGTTTTGTTGGTAAATGTTCATTGACACTTATGCACTATATCATGTTTTGTTGGTAAATGTTCATTGACACTTATGCACTATATCATGTTTTGTTGGTAAGTGTTCATTGATACTTATGAACTCTATCATGTTTTGTTGGTAAATGCTCATTGATACTTATGCACTCTATCATGTTTTGTTGGTAAATGATCATTGTTACTGACACACTCTATCATGTTTTGTTGGTAAATGCTTATTGATACTTATGCTCTCTATCATGTTTTGTTGGTAAATGTTCATTGATACTTATGCTCTCTATCATGTTTTGTTGGAAAATGGTCATTGCTACTTATGCACCCTATCATGTTTTGTTGGTAAATGCTCATTGATACTTATGCACTTTTTCATGTTTTGTTGGTAAATGCTCATTGATACTTATGCTCTCTATCATGTTTTGTTGGAATATGTTCATTGATTCTTATGAACTCTATCATGTTTTGTTGGTAAATGCTCATTGATACTTATGCATTATATCATGTTTTGTTGGTAAGAGTTCATTGATACTTATGCTCTCTATCATGTTTTGTTGGAATATGTTCATTGATACTTATGAACTCTATCATGTTTTGTTGGTAAATGCTCATTGATACTTATGCACTCTATCATGTTTTGTTGGTAAATGTTAATTGTTACTTATGCTCTCTATCATGTTTTGTTGGAATATGTTCATTGATACTTATGAACTCTATCATGTTTTGTTGGTAAATGCTCATTGCTACTTATGCACTCTATCATGTTTTGTTGGTAAATGCTCATTGCTACTTATGCACTCTATCATGTTTTGTTGGTAAATGTTCATTGTTACTTACACACTCTATCATGTTTTGTTGGTAAATGCTCATTGATATTTATGCACTCTATCATGTTTTGTTGGTAAATGTTCATTGACACTTATGCACTATATCATGTTTTGTTGGTAAATGTACATTAACACTTATGCACTATATCATGTTTTGTTGGTAAGAGTTCATTGATACTTATGAACTCTATCATGTTTTGTTGGTAAATGCTCATTGATACTTATGCACTCTATCATGTTTTGTTGGTAAATGATCATTGTTACTGACACACTCTATCATATTTTGTTGGTAAATGCTTATTGATACTTATGCTCTCTATCATGTTTTGTTGGTAAATGTTCATTGATACTTATGCTCTCTTTCATGTTTTGTTGGAAAATGGTCATTGCTACTTATGCACTCTATCATGTTTTGTTGGTAAATGCTCATTGATACTTATGCACTTTTTCATGTTTTGTTGGTAAATGCTCATTGATACTTATGCTCTCTATCATGTTTTGTTGGAATATGTTCATTGATTCTAATGAACTCTTTCATGTTTTGTTGGAAAGAGTTCATTGATACTTATGCTCTCTATCATGTTTTGTTGGAATATGTTCATTGATACTTATGAACTCTATCATGTTTTGTTGGTAAATGCTCATTGATACTTATGCACTCTATCATGTTTTGTTGGTAAATGTTAAATGTTACTTATGCTCTCTATCATGTTTTGTTGGAATATGTTCATTGATACTTATGAACTCTATCATGTTTTGTTGGTAAATGCTCATTGCTACTTATGCACTCTATCATGTTTTGTTGGTAACTGCTCATTGCTACTTATGCACTCTATCATGTTTTGTTGGTAAATGTTCATTGATACTTATGCTCTCTATCATGTTTTGTTGGTAAATGTTCATTGATACTTATGCTCTCTATCATGTTTTGTTGGTAAATGTTCATTGACACTTATGCACTCTATCATGTTTTTTTGGTAAATATTCATTGCTACTTTATGCTTTCTATCACGTTTTGTTGGTAAATGTTCATTGCTACTTAATGCTTTCTATCACGTTTTGTTGGAAAAGGATTATTGCTACTTTTGCACTCTATCATGTTTTGTTGGTAAATGCTCATTGATCCTTATGCTCTCTATCATGTTTTGTTGGTAAATGTTCATTGATACTTATGCACTATATCATGTTTTGTTGGTAAATGCTCATTGATACTTCTGCTCTCTATCATGTTTTGTTGGTAACTGCTCATTGCTACTTATGCACTCCATCATGTTTTGTTGGTAAATGTTCAATGTTACTTATGCACTCTATCATGTTTTGTTGGTAAATGCTCATTGCTGATTATGCACTCTTTCTCGTAATGTTGGTAAATGTTCATTGCTACTTAATGCTTTCTATCCTGTTATCATGGTAATTGTTTATTGCTACTTATGTAGTCTTTCAAGTTATGTTGGTTAATCTTCCACTTTAGAGACCCAGTCAGAATATGTGGTGCTTGGAAAAGTCCACATGTATTGTAAAGTTTCAGGTTGGTTAAGTGAGGATTTGATAATATTGTTAGACTTTCAATTCATATACGAAACTGTATATACATATATATATTTCAAAATAAGCATTACTAAATGAATTAGAAATTTTTTTTTAATTACATTTCTAATATTATTACAAAACAACCTGTGATTGATTTGGTATTTATAATAAGGATAATTATTATCAATGTTTTTGTGCCAAATTTAGGAGGAATTAAATATTGTCACTAATATTTGAGATCAAATTAAGGTAGGTATGATGGGTTGCTTTCAGGTAGGTTGAGGGGTCTCCTTCACAAACAGGAATCATGGGTTCAAGCCCTTTTATGCTCATGACCTTGTTTCTTCATTTAAATCGAGTAGTCAGGTGATTTTAAGAGAGTGTTTATGTATATTTCAAATAGCATGCTTTACAAACCTGTATATTAAACTTTATAATATTGTTATAACATTTGTAATGTGACTTTTCATTGGATAAGTGTGATGTTTATATAATTTTGTATACACCACTGCTGTCAATTTTCTAAGAAATTTCCCTATTTTCTTAAAAAAGGTAGTTTGCTGCATTATAAATTCGTTATGAATATTCCTGACAGGTTATATAACCATATATAAATGGTTGTTTGCAATATAAACCTCACCTAGCTGCTTGGGTTATATTTCCACATAGACATTTATATAGGGCCATATAACCTGTCAATAATCTTTATAACTAATAAAAGTAAACAAGGAAGTGGTGTACATGTAGAATAACACATGTATATCAAATGATGATATATAACAACACATGTATATATCAACTAATGATATAAAACATTAAGAGAAAAAAAAAATATTTTGTTTATTTCAGTGCAAGCAGACAGAATTCCACAATGTTAGCAGAGTTGAAAGTTTTGTATGCCAACAGTTTATCTATTGATACGTCAGACAAAGTGTTGAATAAGCTACAGAGTAAATGTGCCTTTCTGGAGACATTTCTACAACAGGTCTCTAATTTTTGCCATAAAATAGGCTCTAACCAAGAATCCGAAGTGACCTGATCTTGAATAATTATTATTATCACAGCATTGACACAGAAAAATTAGGAAAAAAATAACCAGTTCTTATTTCACTGCCTGTGCATTTGATGCCATTTAAATGTATGTACTCGTATATTTAAAAAGCAACAATGTATTTATATCTTGAAGTTTGTTTGTCTTTTGAAGTACAGATAGTATAAAGATGTTAAAAATATCTCGTAAATCTCTTAGTTAATTATAAAGACATTTTTACTCTTAGTTAATTATAAAGACATTTTTAAACGATAATAGTAACATATTACTATTTCATTATAAGGTTTAGAGACATGTATTTCAGAATTGTGAAAAGGTCAATGTTGTAGTCTTGATGGTATAAACAATGGTTACTTTATGTATGCATGTTTTATTGCTATAATTATTGCCATAATAGTAATAAATTCAACAAATATAAACCCGAGAGCAAAAATTTCACTTTAACCTAATAATAACACATTGTTCAATACATTTGAGCCGCGTCACGACAAAACCAACGTAGTGCGTTTGCGACCAGCATCAGACTTTGACCTTGGTGAAAACATCTACCAAATATTTTAATAATACATCAAAAAAAAAAAAAAAATAAACCAAGGAGGGTATTTGAAGACCACTATTTGACCTTTGATCTTTAAGCCCAACATTAAGTGACCTTGGGTTACAGACAGGTCTTGCTCATGACACGCCATCTGATGGAGATGAAGACATATGCCAACTAATTTGACAAACCATCAAGTAATGAAAGTTAGAAGACAGTATTTTGACCTTTGACCTCCAGTAATGACTTAGTCTTGAAAAATGCCAAACCTGCACTTTTTATAAGTAACATTTCTGCCAACTGCTAGTAGTTTCAATTGCCTAGATTTGATACAGAGCAGACACAAAATGTTAAAATTCATACATCATGACTTAGTATGACCTTGGCCTTGACATGGGGAATGTCACATCTGCGCTCTGCACTTCGTCTCATGGTTTACCTTTCTATCAAGTATTTTAAATTTCTTTCCATCATTTAAGAGATACAGAGCAAACACAAAATTGCTAATAGATGGATGGACAGAAAAATGAACAGGTGCATAACAATTTAGGCCGATTTTTTCAGAACGTACATGTATAAACCAAGTTTATAACAATAACAGACAAAGTTTCTGATGTTTATTCTTATTTTATTGAAAAGCTCCTTGTTTATTGTATCATTTGATCCCGGTTGACTTAATAACCCTTATCAAAACCTTTCATTCAGTACAAAGTAAATGCATTCAGTTCAATTTATTATGCCCCCACTTCGAAGAAGAGGGGGTATATTGCTTTGCACTTGTCAGTCCGTAGACCAAATGGTTTCCGAGTGATAACTAAAGAACCCTTAGGCCTAGGAACTTCAAACTTGACTAGACCTGACCAGAAGATACTAGATAACCCTTATTAATTGTTTGTTCAATGGGTCAGAAGTCATGCATAATAACCTGATCGCATGACTAATTGGCTGCTGATAGGGAGCATACATGTTTTACAAACATATCTTGTTGTTAAGATAGAGAAAATGCTTATATGATTATTTGAAAAGCATGTATAAATACATAAAGCATAATTGTTCTTTCTCTGTGATAAAATTTTTGACGGAAAAATCCGTACATGGGTATTGTATTCAGCTATATGTATGTATAGTTATATGTTTTACATGTTTTTAAAAATATAATTGTTAAAGTCTTCTTTAATAAATGTTTTGATACTCATGTAACAATGTTGTTATATGTGGTTATCAAAATGGTGTACATTTGTACTTTATTCTTCTAGAAAATGCTTACAGTTGTATAGGCAAGTCTGTCCACTTAGATCTATAGGGAGAGCATCAAATATGTAATACACAAGTCATTGTTTTGATTCTGAAGAGTGGCAATTACTCCCCTTGGACAAAGAATGGTTGTCTCTCAGAGCGGTTTCAAAAATTTTGTGGTGTTAGTACCTTGTTCTGTTTGGACAAATAGAAGCAGGGGGACTTAAGGTTTACTGTTCATCTGTCTTTCTGACTGTCTGTCAGTCTGTCCGCAAAACTGAATCCTGCAATAAAGCAAAAAGTACTGAAAATATTTTTTATGAAACTTGATATATTGATAGATGGAAGTATAGAGACTATGCACATCTTTATGTTGAATAAATTGGTTGCTTTGGCAACAAAAGACTGAAAATATGGGAAAGTTAACACATAAACTTGAAATATGGGTAGATGTCAGTCTGGAGATTATGCATGTCTTTTTTTTTTCTTCCTATGTTAAATAAATTGGTTGCTATGGCAACAAATAGGCTTAAAACATGGAAAACATAACAATATTTGTGATCAGTCAAAAAGAACTGAACTTTTTTATGAAACTTAAAATATGGATAGATGGCAGTTGGATAATCTTCACATCATTATACCCTCGAAAGGAAGTTTGGGGGTATATAGGAGTCATTCTGTGTCGGTTGGTCGGTCCAGCAGTCCATTGCATTTTCCTTGTCCTAAACATAACTTGAAGACTAATGGTTGGAATTCAATACATCTTCATACAATGGTCAAGCTCATTGAGAGAAATCGAAGTGCTTAAGAACCATAACTCTATCTTGACTAATTACAGAGTTATTGCCCTTGTTACTTTTCGTTGTCTGGAGCATAACTTGAAAACTACTGCTTGGAATTCAAAATTTCATACAATGGTCAAGCAAATATTGGGGAAGTGCAGTGCACAAGAACCATAACTCTATCTAAAGTCATTACAGAGTAATTGCCCTTGGTTACTTTTCCATTGCTTTTTTTTTGTCCAGACCATAACTTAAAGACTAATGGTTGGAATTTGGTATTACTTCATACAATGATCAAGCACATTGAGAGGAAGTGCAGTGCACAAGAACCATAACTCAATCTTGACTAATTGCAGAGTTATTGCCCTTTGTCACTTTTCCTTGTCCTGAGCATAACTTGAAAACTACCAGTTGGAATTCAAAACTTCATACAATGGCCAAGTACCATAAGGGGAAGTGCAGTGCACAAGAACCATAACACCTTTTTGACAAATTACAGAGTTATTGCCCTTTGATACTTTTACTTGTCCGGAGTATAACTTGAAAAGAACTTCATACAATAGTCAAGCACAATAAGAGGAAGTGCAGTGCACAAGAACCATAATCTGTCCAGAGAAATTATAGAGGCAGAACCTAAACTCATCAGTGAACAGAACGTGTCTCCAGTGTTGCATGGTTTTACCGTTTAAGCTCAATGGTCCATTCCAAACGAGTCTGGCGATGTCAAGTGGATATCTATGCAAGGTCTTCTCGACCGCAAATTACCTTCATGCAACCTTCTACGTACCGTCTGCGTGGGAACACGGACTTCGCAGCATTAGCAAGGTCATTTCGAAGAGAATTTGCTGTCGAAAACCTTGTACGACGTGCCTGAACGACCAAAAACCGATCCTGAGCTGGTGTTGTGACCCTTTGCCGACCTCCAGCATGCCTCCTGGCCATGTACCATGTAGCCGGTATCTCTCCCAGGCTCTGCTGATGACGGTGTGGTGTACACCAAGCGCCGCAGCAACCAGACGGAAGGTGGCATTCTGCTACACCATCCCTACAGCTCTCCATTACTCTGCTTTTCTAAAATGACAGATGTAAGCCACGTAATGACAATAGACCTGTAATGATGAATATTCGTAAATTATAGTACCTAGGAAGGTAAATGTAATGTTACTTAATTGATATCATTATGTAAAACCTGTACTTCATTTAAACCTTGCTGTAATATGTTATTCTGTTCATATTAAAGCAAACTTATGACTCAAATATACAGTAAATGCTAAATATATGTTATATATGTTTAATGACCTTGATATTATGTTTATGTATGTATGTTTGTATATATGCTGTGTGCTCATGGGTATAATACCCACATGTATTTGGAATAAAATCTTGTAATGTCGCCGTATAATAAAAGACGTGATTTTACACCCAATAAAAACATGAAAAATATTTGGAGCATTCTTTTCTTCCTAGACAGTTGTAACGGATAAGTCAACATGGATTCATGTCAGGGGACTATCTCAAAACATTGCTGAATCAGAATTTTCAAAAATTAGAAAAAAAAATCTGTTATATACTTGTGACCATATAGCAAAAGTAGTACATGTATATGTTATACCAAATACAGGTGACCTTAAATATTTTCACTGCAATCAACTGAATATAACTAGAGCTCTTGTCCCTGTTTAAATATTTGCACAGCACAGAACCAGTTCTTTTCAAGGCCTGATTGCACAAAGTGCAACCAGTTTATTCACTCTGTTTTGCAAGTATGAAATATCAAATCACATGGCAAGTTTATTTTTTTTACATTCGGCTAAACAACATAAATACAGTCTATTTTCCAGTAAGCATTCCTAATTAACTATAAAAAGAGCTAACTTGTCACCTAGAAATATTGCCACTGATAACCAGCTTTCGCTATCACATTTGAGTTGCAAAACAGATTCATAACTGGGTCAGTGTTAAAATATTACAGGCTAATTTATTCTCTTACAAGTGGATAGGTCTACAATGGGCACATTTTCCTTTAGAATTTCAAATTGTGATAAAAACAATAAACATTATCATTTGGATATTCTAATTAACATTGCTTGAAAAAAAAAAGAAGTTGATAAAAGTCTACGCGATTTAGTATGTATATTTATATGAAGAAAAATAATATTTTGTTCTATATATGTAACAACAACATCCATATATAAATATTTCGTGATATGTTGTTATGCAATACTATCAACGTTATTATTTATTGTATAACAAACCTTCCATCACAGAACAATTTGATTCAAGGTAAATTTTGCTTGTATATTTGCCATCGGACGAAAATTGCCGCCCCAACTCGGGGAAGCTCTAGTAATCTCCTCTTTTCCAGATTTTTCTATATTAGAAAAAAAACCGGCTCAACAGAGAACGGAGTTTGCCAGTATTTGTGGACATTCTGATATTTTAAAACGATATAAAAAAAGTACAACCTAAAGACGCATTTCTAACATTTAAATAAAAAAAAAATTCAGCCATGTTTTTCCTGTTGATAATGTCGTGAAGAGGTAAAGTGCATCTTCTCAGGAGGCACGAGTTTGAGCCCTATCCAAAATAAATCCCAGTTCTTCATAGGACACCAATACTTGTTAGTTCCAGAAAGCCCGAAAGTGATTAGTATAAGTACTTGTTTTGTAATCGAGTTAAAATAAGTAAAGGTTAGACTTGTAATTGATAAGTACTAGTAATAAAAACCATTTTGAGGCATTTTTTTGTTTGTTTCGTTGATATTAATTAGTACTTGTAATAACACATTTAAAACTTTATTGTTTTGATAGCCGTTTCACCTTTGCCATTTTGTCAAGATAATAGTGAAAATTTGAAGACACTTTATGTGAAATCTTAAATTTAGATCTTAAATGGAAGGTCACGGTAAGTTCAATCCATTCACGTAATGTTTAATGATAAGCTCTCTAATCTTTTTTTGATGAAATAATACGTATAAATAACATATAGATAAGACAAGTTAATACCGTATAGATAATTAAAAACAATTCGCTATACATGTATTATACTTTACTGACGTATATCAATATTCCAACCCTTAATTAAGTCACATTTTTCGTTGCATCAATATTGTAAAGGTTATATGCCGACTTTCGAGGAAGACCTTACATGCCCATACGTTCGTTTTTCAGGCACAAACAGGCACCAGAGTAGAACCACCCATGTTCCGTAAGCTGGCTGCATAGCTTCCACACATGAAAAAACCAAAGTTCAGTTATAATTGTCTTTATGCTTGTGCACAATATCTGAATTTAGTTTAAATTATTATAACGTTATTGCATGTATTTATTTATGGACATGATTTATATTTGTCAAAACAACCCTTAAAATGCATAACTGTTTATATTTGATGTACTTGGATTGCAAAATCATTGTTATTATCATGATTAAAATTTCTTTAGAATACCTAAAGTAAAAGAAATTTGTATAATAATACCCCCGAAACGAAGATGGGGTGGGGGTATATAGGAGTGACTCGGTGGCCGGTCGGTCGGTCCAGCGGTCCGTTGCATTTTCTTTATTCGGAGCATATCTTAAAGACTTATGGTTGGAATTCAATTCAATTTCATACAATGGTCAAGCCCATTTAGAGAAAGTGCAGTGCACAAGAACCATAACCCTATCTTGACTAATTACAGAGTTATTGCCCTTTGTTACTTACTTTTCTTTGTCCTAAGCATTACTTGAAAACTACTGGTTGGAATTCTAAACAACTTAATACAATGGTCAAAACAATTTGAAGAAGTGCAGTGCACAAGAACCATAACTTTATTTAAAGTAATTACTGTGTAATTGCCCTTTGTTACTTTTCCATTGCTTTTTTGTGTTCGGAGCATGACTTGCAAACTACATTTGAAAATTTAATACCAATTATACAATTGTCATGTATATATGAGAGAAAACGCAAGTGTACGAACAAAATGTTACCTGATTAAATTTTACAGTTTCGCCTATTTTCTTTTTATTCGCACATGAATAAGCTTTATAATTATATGGTATTGAATTGCAAGGAAACTTACATAAAATGTAAGGGACTGTATATATGAATGTTCTGTCCCAACCAATGAATACATAACTCTAGTTTAGGACTAATTATCTATATGCCCATGGCTTACTTTTTATCCAGGACATAACTTGA